AACTTGTCATACATCACATGATGTAATCCATAATAAAACAACTTGTAATAATTGGCGATTACCATAGATTGCAAAATGGTGGAAAGGGGTTAACTTCGAAGAAATGTAGATCGGTTGTTGACAGATTTTTTCAAGAAAAAGGAGCATGAAATCTAGAGAAAAACAGAAAAAGTAAACTGTATCTAATTACAGAGGGTGCAGCATAGATCTACAGAATTTCAGTTCATCATATCTTTGTAAACACTAAATGAAACTTTATCAAGTTTTACAATACTGAAATGTAGTTTGCAAGGGATTTCTATATCACTCAAATCACTCTCAGAGATAATAATCAAATCAGTTTATTATATTTTTGCTGAAAACATTACCATCTTATTTTTGCATAACCAAGGAAGATCTAAAAATTTACTACCCTTGGCTTAAGCTAAATATTGTGTCAGGTGCCTGGATGTTCTAGTTGAATATTTAATATTACAGATCCTGAACGCTGAAATATAGAGCCAATTAAACATACAGTACAAAGAGACCCACGAGCCAAGTGTTATGTAATGATGTTACAGAGCTAAATTTTAAGATGTGCAATCTGAAAATAATATACTGTAGTTTCTTGAAACACCCGCTAACTACAGATCTTTACACATTCTGGCTAATCTAATTTGTCATAATCTGGTTCTTTATATCTTAAGATGTAACACTGTAGGGGTTGTAGCATACATTTAATATAAAGCTGCATGCAATAACATATAAAAGACAATGACAGCATAACATGATGTTAAAAAAAAGTTAAATATTAACATTTAATACAGAATAACTAGATAACAGACCCCCAGAACAAAAATGACTAGTGCCTAATTCTTACTGAAGATAGGTGTAGGCAAAAAAAAATATGCCCCAAGAAATCTGGTTTCAAAATAACCTATGCAGTTGTCCAAAAATACTGCCTGAACTGTATCACCTATAGAGTATCCGTTTTATATAATAATGAAGGTAGTGTTTGAATCGTGTCACAATAAAGTTAAGTACTTTTTATCTGTAAACTGAAAGCTTATTTTATCATACAGAGTTTGAAAGTAGAAAATCTAACTCATGACAAAAGATGATATTGTGAACAATTGCCAATGTTTGAACATACATGTAGTAGCCTACTTCACTTGCATATACTTATTCTGATTGAAGTCCTATGTCCAGAGCTATTTGGCCAATGTAATCCTAGGGTAACTCAATCACAGTTACTCTTAACTTTTTATGTTTAAGATTACTTTAAATATATGATGCATACAGCCTCAGCAATGCTTCATTTTAAACATCATTATTATGTCCTTGTTACCAAAGCCTGAAATCTATGATGAAATATCTCAACATCACCATATTCTACAATGTCCTTTAAAACAAATTTTTACTTAATATCAAAGAAACATTTCTTTTTATTTACATTGTATATTTAATAAGCTGGCCAATTACCAGAAATCTAGTACATGTACAAAAAATTAGGCAATGAACATTTAAATTGCTGAATCACAGACAATTTCCTCAACAGCTGAACTATCAAGATAAAAATCAGTCTGACATTCAATGCAATAAAAAATATAACTTTTACATGCATGCCATAGCTTATTACTGTATTAAAGAGATAAAATTAGCCATCAGATAAGCATTTTAACCAGTGATTAAATTGTTTGGATACATGTTAAAAGCTTATCTTTTATGTGCATAAACGTTGTCAAATTTTATTTGTTCATTTTTTTATGATGCTGAAGTAAAATGCTATATTATTAGAAAAGGGTGTAACTTTGGAACTTAAATATTCAGCATATATGTAGAGTTATCTGTTGGTTTAATTGCCAAAATTTTAAAATTACTTAAATTATAATAACAGGGAAAGGGGAATATAGAGCCCCATTTATTCAGAATTTATTTTTAGTTGAATATCTAAAAAAAAACAAAAAAAAACAGCATTATTTTTGACAACCTAAGAGAGAGAAACTAGATCATTTTGGACTAACACATATGGTAAAATTTTATTTCAATAATTCATGTGCGAGTAGTTTTTTTTTAGCAGTCTTGTTTGCATAATGTACTTGCAATGTCTTTTGAATACTACTATTATAAAACAAATATAATTAACTCCCCTAGAAATAGAATAAAAACTGGTGTCTAAAAATGTGAGAAAAATGGTTACAAACAAAGGTCGATGAGGAAGAACAGATTAGTACTTTCTGCTCAGCACCAAAAAACGTCCTTAGAAAAACAAACGAGAGTGTACAACGTATATATTTGCGCACAAAAAATGTGTTTCCTTTGGTGATCACAACCATATGCATCTACTTTACGCAAGCCATATAAAAATAGATCACGCAGTTATTACCTCTAATACTGCATTATTTTTCTTGTCGACCGTGATGTTTATAATTATTTTGTGATTAAGGAAGAATAATAAATAATATGTTACATATCACATACATGTGTTAGTCTGACAAGTATGACAGGTCGATAATAGTATTTTTTACTAATAACAGTTGATTTACTCCTAGCGGTGCTCCTAGTCGGCTTTAAATGATTATCCTTGAGAAATAAGAATAGAAATACTAACTATCATGGATATGAGGATTTATTTTTGTCACCTATTTGAATGTTTCAAGGAAAAGAATCGGATTAAAAGATTTCCTCAATGGTAACATTTTATGACAAATAACTGAAAGCTGCCAAGACACATTATCGATTTCTGCTATCATGTGATACTGTTAAGTTTGTTTTTGCTTTTATTTTTTGGGGGTTTCTCTTGCTTTATTTATTTGTTTGTTTTTCTTTTTTGATGTTTGGAAGATTTTTTTGGGAGGTGGGGGGGGGGATTCCATTTTGTTAATTTTTAACATTTTACTACGTTTTTTCAAGAAATTTTCCTGTAATATGTGTTTTTTTTAATATATGTAGTGGGAAACAGAATTATACTAGCACATCAAATTAATTCAAATCAGAAATGGCTATTCTTCTTTTCCTTAGAAAAACACATTTTAAGATAAAAAAAAAGGTACGATATATGCCAATTAACTACCACAATCTAAGCAAAAAACAGTTCTCTCCAATATTTTTATCTTACAAGTAAACTAACTGGTTAATTCATTTCACCATGCTATATAATCTTCCTAACAGTTCAAAATGCTGATGCGATATTGGTTACATGTACCTATCCACCCGTTGTACTCAAATTTCCTCCCACAAGTTTACATCCTTCCTTCCGGGTTTTCCCATTAGCTATAATAGCTCACCAAGCATCTGTGATTGAAAAGTTGAATCTACTAATAACAATTATCACCTAATCATCGTAATCAAACTAATTTTAACTGTTTGGTCGACTTCAGATGCCTACAGCTGTTTAAACATGGTGTCTACAAATCAATCGACTCCTGATAAAAATATCCCACTAGCCCTACAGCTTTATTTTTATTTCTGTACAGATATGTGTAGAAGTGCATGTACTTCATACACGTCCAGGGATTTTAACAGCTTTCAAATGAATAAACTTGAGGGATAGTTCTAGCATTTGATCATAAACAAAATATCTTCCCAGCTCAAAACTTGGTATCAAAAGTAAGCGGATATGATATTCATTAAGTAAATCAAGACCAAAAGGCAACACCTGATGTAAAATTGATAGAGGTACATCAAAAGGTTTGTACCCTACTCTACATGTGGTACAACTCCAACAACAGATGGCGCCACCAATACTTTCAAAACAGCTAGTACCCAGCATCATCTGTCTGCATTCTAATGATTTTCACATCTTTCTTCAAGATGGAACATTACTACCAGGCAGCCGTCTAATTGATCATTTTTCATAATCAATTTCTTGACTTCAAAAGAATTTGTGCATCTGACTTCTTGTTAAGCCATGGGCTTTTTCTTCTTGAATTACCTGGGCCTAGTGCTTTGTTATCTGAAGTACTTTCAAGAGTATTTTGTGCTGATTCCATTAATCAAAAAGCTTGTTACTGAATATTTTCAACCCTCATGGGCGTTAAATAATTTCTTGAAATTGCATTTGACACTCTTTCATGCTATAGGCCTGAAGGATTCCTGCAACAGATGGTTTCTAATATCAAATATTTGGTCATGGGTTAATCATAGCATGACTCCATTATGAGTGATGAAGAAAAAAAACATGTTTAAAATAAAAAAAATCAAGTCTCAAACAGAAAATTTGGTATTGGTGAGAAAAGTCGATTTCATTGTTGTGGATTTTAATGAATTCTTCCTGAGTGACTGTGCTGTAATTCTGTAATTGGGTCTACATACAATTTTATAATTATATAAATAAAATAATATTTTAACCAACTGTATAGGAAATATTACTGGTGTTTCATGTAAGCCAAAGCCAGACTGACGTGGAATACATGTCAGGTGGACAAATCTAAATTCCGGGGGGGGGGGGGCGGGGGGTGGGCGGAATAAAATTTGAAGAAAGGTTAGGGAGATGCAGTCCACAGAAACAATGAGTTCAGGAAATAAATACTAAAAAACAATTCTAAATGAATGAATGAGTTATTGGATGTGTTGGTTTAATTTATATATCATATTTGATGGCCCACACTTAGAGTTGTACATGACAAGCAATATGGTCACCTAACTTTCTGGGTTTTCTCTGATTTCCTTCCGCTATTAATAACCTCGCTATCCAATCAAAACAAAGATACCATGTTTAACCCCAAATCACCTGTCTGTCCTGTCTTGATTTGGGTGGATCCCAGACATATTTCTCTCTCTGTAAATTCTAATATAAACTGAATTTCAGTTCTATTTGGATATTACGAAATTACGAGTAAACAAGAATAAATGTATCTGGACAACAGAACACTCATTTCAATAAGCTTGTTTGAAATATTACAACAGTTGAAAAAAGTCATGTTACCAGATAGAGCTAATTTGGCACCTTAACACAATTTCGTTGAGCTGTGATTGACAAGGGAAAAACAAATGAATTAACTGAGAACAAGAACTCTTACCATGTTTTTTTGCTGACTGCTTTTCTTGGCACAGTTGAGAAATTCATTCGATTATAAAGTGGAATATTGACATATGATCCCATTGGATCTTCCCATGTTCGACTAGACATCTTAAATTTCTCTTTAGATTTTCATCTGCTGTCTGTCTTTAATTTTATGTTGTAATATCAATCAAAAAGATTTTTTGGCCCACGACTAGAAATTGCTTCAGTAACTGGTACAACTTGATTAATCTGATCAAAGCACTCGTATTCTTAGCTGTATGTGCAGTTCACAGGGATCACATAAATGAAATGGTTCATTTATAAAAGTGATAAGAACATGATTGCAGAATTTGTTATACAAATTGGAAGGTGTTGGATTTCTTTAATGGTGGTGGCAGCAGACACAAATTGTGATCTTATCTCCCAGTTGCAGTCTTGTGTAAGTTTCAATTGAACATTTTCTCAAAAGGGTTGATTGGGATCAATTGCTATCAACCCAATAATCAAACTTTGATTAATTAACCAACATGAACAATTTATATATATAATTAATCAAAGTGTGCAGTAATTTTCTGGCATGGATAATGGCTTCTGGTAAATGTAACTGGAGGTCACTATTAGTCCATTAGATATTAATATTTGTCTGCAAATTATTTTGATTATTCATCAGATTCATACAGACCACTATAAAGCTTTGAACTGTGTAGCACAAATACTAATCACTGAACTTCACACTTTAAATCCATTCCAACTCTTGACAGTTAATATAAAAAATACACTTCGAAGGTGAGTTTTAGTTATGGTAAACCAAATTTAACAATAGACATACATGTAGACTGTCTCGAAACAGAGTTTAAAATTTTTATCTTCAGTGTCTGCTCTTCTTCCTTAACTTATTGTAAAATATACATAAACTAAATTGACAATTCTACATATACTTACATTTGTATCTTATTAAATAAATAACTCACGCAAAAAAGTTTTTGGTTTAGAAATCAAGAAATTATCTCTTACAAACACAGGAGAAACACATATTTCTTTTGACTCCAAAAATATGTAAAATCTTTCAACTCCTGGAAGTTATGATGATTCTTCTTTTCATCACATGTAACAAGATAAACTTGTAAAAATATCGTTTTTACATTCCCTCTTTTAAAAATATTCTCACAAATCACACCGAGTTTTAAAATCCCATTGATTAATTAGCACTCTTAATTTTTAAAAAAATGCACCACAAAAGAAGTCTAATGAAGGATGATGCATATAGACACCTCCAAAAAAATTCTATACGAAAAGTTATTAAAGACTCAGTCAACATATGGAAGACATTTAACCTCAGAATACTATAAGTTCAAAGGTCATCGCAAATTGAATCACTGTGTGCTGGCTTTGTTCACTGTAGAAGTAACACAGTACATTTCTACCATCTGGAGGGTGAGAAAAAAACTGAAAGGTGAATCTGTTCTTAGAGATCGAAATTCCTTCTGCATAATGAAACTGTACCATTAATTATGGAACAAGGCATAACATGTACTGTCTTGAACCGAAACACTACCTGAACTCGAAAAAATCCTTCACTTCTGCTACTGGTTTAGCACTTAAACAAAACTAATGTTTCGATTAATTAATACCACACAAAACATCGCCTACATATATGAAGTTCCACCATCATACACTTTGACCAGCAACTATCTTCTAAGAATTTCTAAACAAACTTTTCTGTAGAGATAATTCAGGCCAAATCTTCTGCCATTTGCCTGATTCCAACCTCGTCTGTTTAGCTATCTATATAGTACAGTACCATCAGTTTACATTGATAAGGGAAGCTTCACTGAGAATTGGCTTCTAGTCTATATTTAGAAACATAGAGTTCAGGATAAGAGAGGGGATCTTTTGGCAGATCTGTTGATCCAAAACAAAGTTAGGTTGCTGTTTATCAGAAAGTCTATCTTAACTTTCACACAGATTTACATGTATAATGTTATTTACAGAAGTGTGTTTGCTTGATAAACATTTTTTTTAATTTTTAAAATAAGTTATAAATAAAATTAATACCATATTATATAACCATGGTTAAATTAAGACATATTTCTTTATACATATATCTAAGAAGATTAAATACAAAACAGTAAGTGAGTTTAGTCATTCTGTGTAAAAGGTATTTAATGTGTGGCATGAACTTTGATAACAACCAAAAGAATGGAACAAATTACATCTGGAAGTCCAAAATAGTCCAAACTTGGCTATATTTAAACGATGTCTAAAAACACTGTTTTTTACCCAAATTTTTTAACTATATTTAAAATGCTTCACTTTCCATTTGTATATTGTAGTTTGACTATTATTTTGTATTCTTTTGTTTATTTGTATACATGTATGTTTTTTTATAATCATATTTACATTGTAAAGCGCCACAGAGCAGTCAGACTGAGTGAATGTTCAGCACTATAGAAAACGATTATTATTATTACTAAATGGCGTTGGATTTTATTCAGCTTACTTCATTAGTTAAATTCTCATTTGGACCTAAGATATTTCACTGCACAACTATCTCATTTTTGGTGGGAATCACAATACATTCTCCATTGATGCTCTTCAGGTATAGTTTTTGGTGGCACTTTGACATTTTAGGACAAGTTACAGGCAGTGGCGGCGCCAGCCGTCGGTGATTGGAGGGGCAAAGCTGGGGCAAAGTCCAAGGTTAAGGGGGCAAAGGCACGAGCTTTAACTAGGGGTAGGGGGCCTCCCCCAGAAAATTTTGAAAAACAGGTTGCCGGAAATGCAGTCTGGCAGTATTTCAGGCACTGATCGATGAGGTAAAGTGTCAAAAGAACGGACTTGTGAATCACGACGAAGCCCACTCAAGAGTATCAAAGTAGGGAGTCCTCCCCCAGAAAATTTTGAAAAATAGACTGCCGGAAATGCTGTCTTACAGTATTCTGTCAGGCACCGATCGTCGAGATAAATAGATCTGACCAGATACCGTCCGTCGCCTGATCACTAGTTTAGAGAACAAAATGTCAAACGAACGGACTTGCGAACCTCAACGAATTCCCCTTGTGAGCGCCAAAGTAGCGAGTCCATTGGGGACCTCGCCAAGAAAATTTAAAAAAATAGACTGTTGGAAATGCTCTACAACATGCAAGTTCATGACTGAGTGGGGATGTGGGGTTTATTCACCGTAGAAGGTATTGATTACCGAAACGTATTACAAATGCTTTTTTTTATTTTCTAAAATTATTGGGGGGGCAAACAGAGGGCAGACCAGATTAATGGGGGGGCAAATTGGGGACCTCGCCAAGAAAATTTAAAAAAATAGACTGTTGGAAATGCTCTACAACATGCAAGTTCATGACTGAGTGGGGATGTGGGGTTTATTCACCGTAGAAGGTATTGATTACCGAAACGTATTACAAATGCTTTTTTTTATTTTCTAAAATTATTGGGGGGGCAAACAGAGGGCAGACCAGATTAATGGGGGGGCAAATGCCCCCCCTTGCCCCTGCCCCCCACTGGTTACAGGTCCCAAGCACTACTTATCTTCTTGTTCTTCTTCATCTTAGGGGCCACACACATCGAAAAAAGTCTATGGCTCTGCCAATTCAAGTACAATCAACATGAATTTGTACTTTCTGTAAATTATATATTAATAGCGACCACCAAGCAGAAAATAGGCGTGAAGTTTCAAGAGAATTTATAAATGTTTTTGTGGCATTAGAGCATAACAAGCACACATAGACTACAATATAATGATAATAAATAACTATAAATGTGTACATGGAAATCTTTAAGCCTTAATGAACTAGGTATAAACACACTAGTGATTAGTCTGAACTGAATGCACTATTCTGCCCAATCTCAGCATCCTGTGACCTCATATCAATCGAGTCAAGGAATTACCATTGACAGATATATTTGGAAGATGACTGTGTATAGCTGTAATAATTGGTGTGTGTGTTATGCACAGGGAAAGGTATGCTATTCTTTCTAGAACACCTGATACCACTTTTTATTTGAGAGGTTTTCACAACAATTTTTTGTTGGGCTTTTGTATATATATACATGTAATAAAATAATTCAGAATATGAGCATGTTCCACTTATTATTTTATATACAATGTATATTATTATATGTATATAGTGGTAACATTTTTACCAAGATAAAAGAAGTTATGTTATTTATAGTAAGTACTACATGTAGGTATATATAAGTATAGATGAATCATCCATATGGTGATATCAATAAACAAGATGCTTACTGAGATATTACTAGATATATCAACCAGCTAATATTACACATCTTTTACATTATCTGATCGTTCTTACACATTCTTTTTAACATTATATTTAATCATCGTGTACTTGGTTGGATCATGCCCTCATACTAAGGTACATTAGGTGGATAACACATGATAGCACTTAAATGTATCAGTATTAAAGCATTTTAAATATTAAAATAAAAATTTAGATGAAAGTGTCTTTTTGCGAAAAAATCAATCAATTTCATATTGAAAATATTTTGCATCCCTCCAGATAAAAGAACTCAATGCAGGTATAGAGCGCTACTAAACACAGACACTACAGACATAAAAAATTTGAAAAACAATGCATAAAATCAAAATGCCAATGAGAATCAAAAGAAGTCTTGCTTCAAATACCACAAAAGATTTGAAAGCACCAAACCAAAAGAGGTTACAGCACTATTTTTTGTTTTACAAATTTATCTAAATTTGATGATGTGCACTGCACCTGTATCAAAAGATTAATGGATATTGCTTGTGTTTCTAAAAGGAAAGTGCAGTTGCACATGTAAATGATGTCTAAAATAAAATGAGAAAATGTAACATAAATCTTGGATAAGTTTGTTAATAAAAAAAAACCTTATTACATTGAACATATCCTGACAAAATAAAGAACGAGCCAAAATAAACCACATTTATAAAATAAATAAATGTTCATGATCTATTTACATTTGCTGTGATAAAACAGATGACATATATATGTGCCCGTCTGCTGTTAATAATTAAAGCGGGAAAACATAACACCAATATATATCATAAAAACATTGCATATATTTGTATTAAGTAAAAACTACATCAATACGCGATCAAATTGTAGCTATTAGATGTATAAATATGCTGAACTTGTCAGCAAAACCGTATGTTTTATCTGTCAATTTCTGTAACTTATCGAAATGTTTCTACTCTTTGAAAGTTAATCTGAAATTGTGTTCAGAGACTTGGCAAAACTTTTTAAACAAATAACTTCTTTGCTTCAAACATTAGACTAAATATCTAAGACAAGCAACCTTTAAGAGTGAAATATTAAGCCAAAATATCCAAGGAAGAATAAATAAGGGATATTTTTTAACAATGAAATCTGTTCTTTTCAGACTGCATAAACAATAACAACATTACAAACTTGAGTCAACAGAGGGTAAAATTTCAAAAACTTAATTTCTTTGTGCTGGCTACAATTTTGTTTTTTGACATTGCTCAAAATA